TTAGTAAAAAGAAAAAAAAAAAAAAAAATAATAAAAAAATTGGAAGAAAAAAAAAGAACAGAATAAAAAAAAAAAATAAAAACAAAAAAAAAAAGACGATATGGAAAACACGATATGATTAAACGACTATATGACTATATGACTATATCACTATATACTATGAACATATATGTGCTGTTATATCCTTTGTGATGGCTTTGTAGTTAAGTGGTAAAATACCCGCTTTGGGTGCGGGTGGCCCGGGTTCGATTCCCGGCGAAGCCCTTTTTACCACTATATCTCTATACTTTAACTACCTAGACTCTAATTTCTACTTATATTATGTTATATTATCTATTCTTATCTATTATTAACTATTCCTATTTATCTATTATATTTATTATATTTATTATTATTATTATTATATTTCTTATTATTATTATATATCTTATTATCTATACTTATGTATTATTACTTATTTTATATCATAAGTATTTTATACTTTTATACTTTTATACTTTTATACTTTTATACCTTTATACCTTTATACCTTTATACCTTTATACCTTTATACCTTTATACCTTTATACCTTTATAACTTATTACCTTCTATGTATACTTTATCCACTTAGTGTTTACTTATTCTTATATATTATGTTTATATACTACCCACTATTCTGTATTATCCCTAGACTCTATGTATATCACTTAGTGCTTATATTCTACTTATATTCTACTATATACATCTATCTTTTTAACTTCTACACTATTCCTTGTACTTTTATACCTATATCACTATATCATTATATGTTTATATGTATATATGACTATATGACTATATGTTTATATGTTTATATGTATATATCACTATATACCTATATGTTTATATGACTATATGTTTATATGACTATATGTTTATATGTTTATATGTTTATATGTTTATATGTTTATATGACTATATGACTATATGTTTATATCACTATATCACTATATGTTTATATGACTATATGACTATATGACTATATCACTATATACTATGAACATATATGTGCTGTTATATCCTTTGTGATGGCTTTGTAGTTAAGTGGTAAAATACCCGCTTTGGGTGCGGGTGGCCCGGGTTCGATTCCCGGCGAAGCCCTTTTTACCACTATATCTCTATACTTTAACTACCTAGACTCTAATTTCTACTTATATTATGTTATATTATCTATTCTTATCTATTATTAACTATTCCTATTTATCTATTATATTTATTATATTTATTATTATTATTATTATATTTCTTATTATTATTATATATCTTATTATCTATACTTATGTATTATTACTTATTTTATATCATAAGTATTTTATACTTTTATACTTTTATACTTTTATACTTTTATACCTTTATACCTTTATACCTTTATACCTTTATACCTTTATACCTTTATACCTTTATAACTTATTCCTTTATTACCTTATTACCTTCTATGTATACTTTATCCACTTAGTGTTTACTTATTCTTATATATTATGTTTATATACTACCCACTATTCTGTATTATCCCTAGACTCTATGTATATCACTTAGTGCTTATATTCTACTTATATTCTACTATATACATCTATCTTTTTAACTTCTACACTATTCCTTGTACTTTTATACCTATATCACTATATCATTATATGTTTATATGTATATATGACTATATGACTATATGTTTATATGTTTATATGTATATATCACTATATACCTATATGTTTATATGACTATATGTTTATATGACTATATGTTTATATGTTTATATGTTTATATGTTTATATGTTTATATGACTATATGACTATATGTTTATATCACTATATCACTATATGTTTATATGACTATATGACTATATGACTATATCACTATATACTATGAACATATATGTGCTGTTATATCCTTTGTGATGGCTTTGTAGTTAAGTGGTAAAATACCCGCTTTGGGTGCGGGTGGCCCGGGTTCGATTCCCGGCGAAGCCCTTTTTACCACTATATCTCTATACTTTAACTACCTAGACTCTAATTTCTACTTATATTATGTTATATTATCTATTCTTATCTATTATTAACTATTCCTATTTATCTATTATATTTATTATATTTATTATTATTATTATTATATTTCTTATTATTATTATATATCTTATTATCTATACTTATGTATTATTACTTATTTTATATCATAAGTATTTTATACTTTTATACTTTTATACTTTTATACTTTTATACCTTTATACCTTTA